CCCAGCCCTCCCCCCCCCCCCCCCCCCCCGAAAAGCCTGACAACCCAACAGGCTTACAGTTATTTTGCTATGCTGTTCAGAAATCACCTGCAGCTCCAGAATCAAATCACTGATCTCTAGTATGCAGGTATCCCTATTAGCCACACCACTGGTATTAGACTTGCAAACAACTGCTACCAGCAGGAAGGAAAATTTTCTAAAGATCTGTAATAAGCTGTTGATAGCAATTCACATGGGAGGAAATTCTGTTACTTCCATTAAAATGCAATAATCACCCAAGACAAACACTTCCCAGAGAATTAACAGAAGCCAGTGGGTGGTATCTTTTCAAATCAGGCTGAGGAAAATAGTCTAGCGAATTTTACTAAAGCTGTTCTATTACCCAGGTAAACAGGAAGTCAGTAAAACAAGACAAATCAGAGATGCTGAAGGAGGCACTTGACACACTGCAGAATTTCCACATCATCTTTACGAACTGTCAAAACCGTTCTGAAGAAGGTATCTCACCGTCTCCATGGTAGTCCACGCCTGCCGTAAGGGAGTAGTGAAACAGTTAGGGAGAGGACCACCTTCCCTGCAGATGTTGGATTCAATCTCTAACCTCACCGAGTCATCAAACCCAAGAGGATGCGTGGCTTGAAGGGAGAAGTACCTGCAGCACCGGACAGGGGAAGAAGACAACACAAAAGGATTTGCAAAACTTTGCAGGTGGGTAGTACCCACCCTTTCCACCAAAGACCGTTAATCTGCAGCCACTAGATGGTGCTGGCTTCAAAAACGTCCATAAAACTGATCCTCACTAAGTATAGGGGAAAAAAAAAAAATCCCCAATTCACAGAAGTATTTTTGATAAAGCCTTGCCCTGAAGATACAGATAAAAGAAACCGAGCACTATGTGACTACTGGCGAGCAGGATCTTACACAGACAGCTTTGTAGGAGGGAAGCAGGAATCACCCAGAACTCTGAAGCAGCATTTGCTCTACTAATTGCATCACTGAAAACTGAGCTTGTGGATGAAGTGGGGGGATAACTGACAAAAGTCAGAGTGAATTGTTTGCTTCCTCTCCAATTCGTATTTCCTATGAGGGCAGTAAATCAACAAGCTTCTGGCAGTGAGTCTCACACTTAAGCTTAAGAACAAACTTCTTCTGGAAGCAGTTTTGATGTCTGTCTTCCAGTTGCATTACTGCTAAGGTGAAGCACAAAATAAAGGAAAGAAGTTGCACTTCTGAGAGTGCAAGTCTGATATTAAAAGGTATCTGGTTGCTTCCTTCAAAAAAGGAAAGTATTTTGAAATACTAAGAACAAGCACTGTTTGGCTTTTCCTATGTGTGATAACAGCTCCTACAGCCTGCTTTAAATGGATAATAACAGTATCTGAACCTTAACGTTTCTCTACAGCAATGCATCTGCTATTAGGTTTAAATCCTTTATGTTTTCAAATGGCAACCAATTGGCTTTGATATTTCACGACCAAACATTAACTCAAGCAATCAAGTCCTGAAAATTCTGAATTGTGTTTAAGAATGGAGTTATAAGGATTTTCTCCTCATGTATAAAGACAACTTTTAAAAGTTCTTGTCTGCATAGACATCGAAGGCCACCTTCATAAAAAGCATTTCAGCATAACAGTGCAAGGCTGCACACTTATGGTTTGAAAATGAAAAATTCCTTTTGCACAGCGCAACACAACTACAAGTACAAGATTAGAGCTTCAGAAACAAATAATTGTTGAACTCCCTCACTTGTCATATAAAATCATGGCATCATTCTGTGCTTCTTGCCCATCATACTGGCCTTTTTTGGCAGCAAGTTGAGACTGGAAGTTATCTGCTGCCAACCAGAACTGCAATACGTTAACTGCATCTTCCTTCTCCATGTACTGGAAGGCAAATTAAGAAAAAGAGGAGAAATTAAAGAAGTTTTAGCAAGAATGTTTTAATAAGCATAGACAAACCTGCTCCTTTCCATTTAAAAACAAGAAACATAGTCCATATATTAATGATGCAAAATTGTCACCAGGGCATATAAATATACTGAATTTTCAGATAGTGTTGCAGACAGATCTAGTTTGTTTAAAAAAAAAAAAGAAAAAAAGAACTTGTGACATTTCTTTTCTGTATGGATTTCCACATTTAGTTTCCAAGCAACTATTTATTTGTATCACACCAAAGAGAGGAAACACTATTTTCATGCTACGCTTAGTTTCCATTGAACTCAGCATATTGTCTCAGCTTCCCAGCTTGCTGTTTCAAACAACACTGGCTTGTCAGAGTACCAGAACAAGTATTTTACTACTAACAGATGATTCCCTAAAGGTATAGGACCCCACCACTGCAAAATCATACATCTAACCTACCACATTCCAATCTGGTATCCTCTCTATGTAAAGCTAGTGAATTATTTGTTATTGTGAGAATGCTTAAGGCTTTCAGAGTCACTACTGCATTTGGCAAGATTAAGATGACTATGTCAAAGCTTCTACAAAGCAAAGAGACACTTAGAAGCTCTCACTAACTGGAGAAAATATGCACGAACACTCATTCTACAATATAGCGTACAGGTTTGAACATCTGAAATAGTTCTACACATGGGCAGGAAACCGTTTAATGTATTTTCTCCCAGAAAAAGACACACATCTTTTTTATTATATTTGAGGTGTCTTTATTAGAGCCATTGGGGATGAATATTTTTTTCCATTTCATAGAAAGGAACCAAAAAAGCAAACCCAAAACCTAACACTCACCTCAGAGAAATAGAACAGGGCTGATTCACAGAAAAGTATGTCAGCCAGATAAACAGTCCCGCTAGTCAGCACCTCAATCTGATATTTACAGAAATGATGACTTCTCAAAAATTCACTAAAGTGCCTGCACACAGACAGAATAACAATTAGTTATTAAGAGTCAACAGCATTCAAGGCACCTTATGAATCAATCAGTTCTTGCCCCAGAAGTCTTACACTTTTAGTTGGATAAAAGCAAAACAAGTAAGAAACAGCGCAGGTTTACAAATGACACAAGAAAGATATAAAGCATGTAATAACAGCATGCATGTACAACTTCAGTGAGTGATTACAAGAATGGATTTGGAGGAAGAGATCCGAGCAGTTTCTAGTACAGAAGACTGCACAAAAAAAGTGATTAGATGGCTATACCTCCATAAACATTAACAGAACCACCTTTTGCAAAAGAACAACAGACACAAGAAGCCAAACCATTCAAGCAACTTACTCTTGTTCCATTGCATTAAACACTATTGACTGTGCCGTAACAAAACAGTTAGGATCCACTTGTCCATCTTCCCCACAAATCTTTGCTGCAAAGAAAGACCGGGTTAATTTTAACATGCATTTGGCTGACCAACCTCAAAGACATGAGTGATGACTAGTTAATGAAAAATTGCAGTTCCAATCCCATAGAATCAGCTGGTCCTGATGGTGCAAAAAGAGCTTTTAAAGCACTGCAGATAGCCGAATGATAATATTACGGCTAAAATATTTGATTGAGAATCAAATCTGGATTTCCTCCATAACCACCAGGAATTCTTTTACTAATTTAAGCAAAGTCTCTGAAAATTCTTCTGGGGGTATTGCACAGCACTACTGAAAGGTCAGATCCACTGATACTTATAATGTGATTTACTATCTTTTTACAATTGACTTTAAAATTCATAAAAATAAAAAGAAACCTGAGTGTGTGGTATTAAAGATACATTTTTATGGGGAATGAGGAAGCTCTGAAATGAGCAGGCAGTATACATTCTTACCAACTATGTCATTTCTCATTGCTTCTGTAATAGGTATTGGTTTAGCAGCATCTGGAGAAATATATTTGGTAAAAGTACTAACTGCATCCCGTTCTATACCTACAAGGAAGAAATACAGAATCAAACTTTGAATTCCTTGGCATAGGTCTAAAACAAGGAGCGAATAAATCGCCTGCTCTTCAGAAAAGCAAGTATCTAATTGTCAGCGACAAATTTCCTTCCCATGAAGCTTTCAGTCCAGTACTCGATACTGTGCTACTGACAAGCTACAGACTGCTATCTCCAGGCAGGTCACAATAAGCCCAGCACGGACTGACCAGTGAGAGGGAATAAAGCAACGCAGCTCTGAATTCCCTACCACCAGACAAGCTAGCACCCTCTTACTCAGCTGCACACCTTAGTCCCAGAAGTAATGCCTTTGCGGCAAGAACTGCAGTGAAGTTCCCAATTTCTAGCTCTCATTATAGAGAATATAAAACACTTGCATTATAAAGGAATTAAAAGGAAAACAAAATCTTAAAATGGGATGCCTCAGAACAAGACATATGCTTTACATGTCATCAAGGGAGAGTTGGGACACTGCTCTGGAAGAGAGAAAAAAAAAATTATACTCCAGACTTTTCAGATTTCTCAAGAAGGACCTCGTCCTTTCAAATTCTTTTTACAAGTCAGAAAGCAGAGGTGCTTTTCCTGACTGAAGTACATTTTGTTTAAGATACTTTGTGGCTGAGGTTATGTATTGTGGAGGTACATGGTAAGCAACTACATGAGAAAGACAAACAGCAAGAGAAAGGGATGCAACATAAGGAAACAATTGGGCAAACAAAAGGAACCAATATGAAGAAAGGAGTGTTTCCTTTTTGTCTGTAGACTTGCACAAATGAGGGAGAACTGAGTAGATGCAAAGTAGAGAAACAGGTTACTGCGCATGTAGCTTACTACCAAAAGTAAATATTTGAATTTCATCCTTACTTCCAGTAGCCTCTGAAGAGGTGGATTCCAAATGAGAGCAAATCAGTTACAAGGGGAGGAACTCTATCAAATAAATCCAAGAACAAAAACAGTACGTTCCACGCAAAAATCTCTACAAGTCTCTTGTAACCATTACTTATGTCATTTTATGCAATACAGGATATTTACCTTCTGTGGAAAGTTAATTATCAATTCTCAGCCCCATCATCCATATTTTCTGCAATTCTTTTAAGTTGGGGGTGGGATGGGTGAGGGAAGAACGGGACATTGCAATGTTCCTACATGTGTAATATTAAGAAATGAAGACGAACAGAAGTAACCTAAGCTTATTAGGGTACGTAATGGTTTTGAAGTCTCTTCAGCAGCACATTTATTTCTAAACAACCAGACAGTCAAACAATACATAGCTCAAATTGACCATTAGCTTATACAGCAATTAACATTACTGATATACAAAATTATTTTCCTCCTTGCAACATCATGCTTGCTAAGCACACCTGAGAACTGAGGCAGATCACAAAGCAAGCAGCAGCTAGGAGATTCCCCATCTCTCCACTTTTTTTAAAGGAAGGGAACACATGACACTTACTTTTCATTAGTTTTCCTGACAAGTCTTTTAGTGCAGAGGAGGGGCTGTTTCTATTTGATACTGTAAGCTTGGAAGATTCTTGCTGATCAGCTGGAACAGAATGGGTCCCTGTCTCAGATTTTCTTAGACAAAGAACACTGGTATTGTCACTCTCCTGACCCGAGAGCACGTGGTTCTGGCTGTCGCTAGTTCTGTCGTTCTTGTCCGAAGCCACTGGCTTGGTCCTGAGCAGACAGACTGTGCTAGAATCCTCCAGTCTCTCCTCAAGCAATCCAGTTGGAGAAGACGACGCAATTTCCTGCTGTTTCGAGGGTGACACTGGCTCTGCCAACGAACTCTGCTTAACTGTGTTCAGGCTATGTGCTCTTATACGGGACCATGTTGTGGAGTGGAAGCTTTCAGCCTCTAACCAAAACTTAACCAAGTGTTCCATTCTACGTAGTTCCATAAACTGGATAAAATAAGGGAGGGCTACATTGTCCTGCAGAACTTGTTCCAGGGTCTTTGAAAGGCTTGATTTGGTCTCTTGAGCCTGATAATTCAGACACGATCTGCCTAAAGAAAAATATCAAGGGATTGACTCCATATTGTACTACAGACATGGGTATTTGATACAAAAATGTCCCGCAATGCAACTGGTGAGGAGACGATTCCAACATAATGGTAGTACACAAAGTAAAGGAACCTCTTCACAAGCAAATGGACTGTCCCCATTGAAAACCCTTCTAGGGTAACACAGATGCTACTGTAACAGCAGACAATTTTTTTAATTACCTAATCTACTTGCCTCAAAACGAAAGGATGGTGAGCATACCAGTAATATACACAGAATAAAAAGAAACGTTGACATTATTATAGAGCTGATGAAGCCTTACCTAAGTCTCCAAAATGAGCAGCTTCCATGTGACTTGGCTGCTTCTTAAGGGCAGCTGTCCGACTGCTAGAAACAGAGTCCATGTTGGCAGAGATGGCATTAATTGCCACATGGCTTGGTCCTGCAGCCTCCAGCAAGGCATGATTTCTAGTGCTTCTTTGAGGGGAATGTACTGGTATTGGAGCTGGAATCAAGAGAGGAATGATTAAAGGACAAGGATCCCAGGACCTCTTTTAAGCAGGATCCAATGCTAAGCATCCCAAGATATGCCAGAGAGTTTGCAAGAGTCAATCTTATTAAAAACCTCATTGTACCACAGAAATAAACAAGTTTTATTATATCAAGAATAAACTCACTTCCGATAGATCAGTGGTACCCACCCACCTGTATTTGCCTTATTCAGTACCTAATCAGAAGATGCCAAGTCTAAGTTTATACATGAAATATTATCCCCGAGTCTTCCTGCTTCCTTGATAACCACTGTCATAACAGCTTAATACTTTGTCAACAATTCAGTTCAGTTGCGATGTTCTTGCCAACCCATTTCCATACCTTTTTGAAGGCTAAAATGTGTTACAAAATCCTGAACTACAAAGCTACCTGTGAGTTTTAACAAGACTATTTTTCAAAAGTATTTTCTTTGCCTCTGTTTGGTTTTAAGAGAAAAAAGCAATAAGGAAATATCTCTGATGAAACCCAGGTTATAAGCCTTAACCTCCTCTAGCTGTTTTAGAACACAGCTGGCTATTTGAGCCCAAAGAGAACAAAGAAGAACTTCCTCACACAAGACTCTGCCAGTGAAAAAGCATCAACTAATTGTTAATTGATGACAAAGCTGAAAAAACAAAACACGCTCATAGCAGTTACAAAAGCTCTCAGGAAACTGCATTTGATTACGATGTCATGCAGGGACATCTTACACCTCTAACTCCTAAAGCAGTCAGATGACACTATCTCAGCACACTACTTCCTAACAACGTGTTTCATCAAGGTGTCAAGCAACTTGGTTTTGATGACTTTCATGCCACATAACTTTATTTTTATGCACAATTTTATGACACATGGTGACAGAAGCTGACAATTTCGCACTTGCACGTCATGGTAACAGATACCTCAGGAGCAACAGTATAGGAGAGTTAAAATGTTTAAGCTATGGCAAAGTCTTTCTCCAGTTGCAGTGTTTGGTACCAAGAAACCACTTGCTGCCTCTTACAAAGCCTCTGGTATTTAATATCAGCGATAATGGAGAAAACACATTTTTTCCCAGGCCAACGGATCGCAGCCAGTTGCTTGGCTGATGACAGTAACTGGGGAAAACTTGCTGGAGGCTACTCGTGTAGAACCAGAGCCACATTCCTCATAATGGTTTAGGCTTTTGTGAATTAGATTCAAATTTAATTTTATATTATGAACATTTGAGGAAAAATTGTTCTACTTAATCTAAAGATCAAACACCTGTTCCAAAACCTCCAGATAGCACTACATCGCTAACCTAAATCATACAGATCGCAGAGTAGCTGCTTGCCAAACTGGAAAGATGCTCTGTTTGCAGCAGCTCACAATGTGTAATACAATAAATTTTCAAACTTATTTTTATTTACAGGCAATGTAACCTCTTTCAGATAGTCATCGGAGATTGTAGTTGCACTGAAATCATGGGGTGTGCTATTAAATGGATGCAACGTACTGTTTCCTATATTTGATTTGAAAGACAGACCACCAAGGTGAAAAAAGCCTTTAATTTTCTCTTGATATCCAGATAACACATTAACAAGTACAGAAACAGGATTTTGTCTGAGGATATAAAAGTAACAGATCAGAGTCACACAAATTACCTCATCTCCTTTTAGTATTGCAAGAAAAAATGACAGCATAAATAATCTTTGTTTTCCCACGGTTTATAAACTTCCTTTCCATCAAGAATTTCTTTCTCTCCCAACAGATTCAGCAGCAAGATTCCTGTATCACGTGGAGCAGCATTAGAACAGCTACTCATTCTGACCAAGATTCAGATCTTCAGTCTCACAAGCCCCATCAGTCAAAGTTAAACCAGACACTAGCAGCCTCTTTTGCAAATTAGACAGTTAAGCTGCATTTTCAAAACTGCAAAGTATGCTACATGTAAGCAAGAAACTTCAGAAGCAATTTGTTGTAGATAAGGAATAACCACTATTTGCAAGGTGACTGAATTGCATGATCACTTTGAATTAAAGCTCATGTCTGACATAATTTAATAACCTTCTGTACTTACAGATTCAGCAAGATGACTAGGAAAGATTAGTTACTATAAATACTCAGAAACAGAATTAAGTTTTGGGTTTGTTTTGTTTTTAATGCATAGGTCACATCTGTGCTCAGTCATAAGGAAATTATTCCACTGGTTAAAATAAAAATGGCAAATAATATTAGATATCTGAATCTATAGACAAAATAAATATTGATCTTACTTTTAATTGCTTTCACATCTGTGGTCTTTTCTTGTTCTTTGCCTTTCACTGTAAAATACAAAGGAAAATGTTAATGCTATTTTGGGTGACTAATGGCATTTACCAGGGAATGGACATAAAATTCCCACCTTCAGCAAGTATCAAAGGCAGACGTAAGCTATCATTTTGTTAAAACTAATCTCTCGTATTTAAATCTGCACATCTAGTAACTGACAGAGGCTTTCAAAGCTTTTGTGCTGGTTTATTTTCAAAAGCAAAACCTTATGATCTGTGAATTAAGTTTAATGACATACAGTATGTTAAAATGAACATTGAGAAAGATGCTTGCTGTCTATATGATTAAAGCAAGGCCACATTCAAGGTTACTTTAATAAATAGTATGAACTGGAAAGAATGGGATAGATGTGTTTTAAGAGCAGGGCACTGGCAGATGCTCTCTATGAACTAGAAATCATACAGCTAAACCCAACATCTCCCTCGTCTTACAAGACAAACACACACAGCCAGAGAGATGTACACGGAACCAGCTCCGCGAAGCCAGAGCCAGCCCACGACTCCTCAGCCATGATGCGTACCACAGAAATGTTCCGGAAATACACTGCAAATAGTTAATTCTCTCACAAATAATTCGGCTTAACTACCATCCAGCCTATGGCAAGCAACTGACGGGAAGATAATAGTTAACAAAAAGTTGTGATGGAAAAGCAATTTCTTTAAAATAATTTTTTAAAGGAAGCTCCTAAAGGAAGTGAACGAGGAAATGCATTTAAAACAAAAATAAAGAAACCGAAGGGGTACATAAACAGGATGGCAGGAGAAACAAATTAAGTGGTGACATTGAAGAACATGATCTACTACTGAAACCTTCTCCGGCTGCTCCAGGCTGGGATTATTACTACAAATAGGTCATCTTTGAACACCGATTGTGGAGTCCTTCCAAACGTAACCACAAATCGTAACCCAGCACAATCAAACATTTACATCACAAAACACAAGCAGATTAAAAAAACAAACACCTTTCTATTCTGATCTAAGTATTTTAAATATTTTAATAATATTCAATCTCTGGTTACATAATTGTCCTGCACAGTGGTGGCTGCAGCAGTGCCGTGCTGCCAGCCTTCGCTGCGAGAAGTAAAAACATTGCAGGTCTGCGAATTGGCAACTCAGCATTTAAGACTTCAGCTAGCAGCTAGCACATTCTCTCTCTGACAGAGAGGTTTAAGCGCCCGTTAAAAGAGCTGGATTCTTTTAAAACTGAACTCTAGCTGCCAGATGCAGCTGTGAACAGTGAGAATAACCAGCTTTTACATAACTGGGGGCGTGCTGACATGCAGGAGAAAAATCACTGGAAAAAAAAAAATCTGCGTGTCTGAAGTAACACTGAGGTACAACGGGGACGAAGCAACCTCTAAACAGTATTACAAACCTTTATTTTTCCAAAATTATTCTAATAGTTGAGGCATCAAACCGATTCCTAACTGTCAGCAATGATGCCCGAGTTTCAACAGAGGAGTCCTCCATAAGCTATTTTCAGTTTAAACACATCTGTTCCTTCCGACCAACCACGCAGTTCCTCTCTGTCTAATTACCTGCTTATTACTGGTAATACAAACTCCTGGTTCATGTTCCCAACCTCTTTATACACAGGCTGCTTTTGTCCCCATCAGCTTCACGCAGAACAAAATGAAGAAGTAACAGCAAAGGACAAAAGAAAACTCCTATATGTGACAAGAACAAATTTTAGAGAGTGAAGTTTCACTAAAGGAATTTACTTTCACTTTCTTCAAAAACAGGTGTCACTTGGTGTCTGTGCGAAGCCAGCGAGGTAACTGCAGCACACAATGACCGAGGACTAAAAGTTTGTGAGAATTTCCAGTAGCAAACCCCATTCACAAAGCAGTAACGCATCAAACCGACGCAAGCCGACCGCGTGAGATTTGAGAATTCTATTTCACATCTTGAAATACAGAAGAACAAGCAAACCTAAACTGTTCACACGTGTATATATACAAAAAGCAATATATAACTTCAGAGGTCAGCCAGCTGGTAGGACCACGTACGTTATTTCCAAGATAACCCCAGTGAATCGGCATGTAGTCTGGCTGTTTTCACCAATAACAATTTCATGATCCGTCCTCAAGCCCCCCCAGCTGCTGGTCCAACTGATACAGTTTAATTTCTCAACCTATTATCCACCCTCAGTTTTCTAGACCTTTATTTTAAGGCACATATAAAAACTATTTCACTATTATTTTCGAGCCTTTTCTACACGTTTTAACTTAAAAAAATTTTTTTATTTTTACTCAACAACAATACTTCAAAGACACTGATGCTTTTATATGGTTTTGGACTGCATGTGTCTAGTCTACAGCTTTTTACCATAAGCCTTAATTTGTTGCTTTTCTCCCAGCTGCAGTTTAAGATCATCTCTAAAAGCCAGTATCTAAAATGAAGAAACACAAAACAATATTGTTTTATATACAACCCAGATGAAAGCCTACTTCTCGCTTCTCCTTAACAGCACCCCTCTTGGGCATTTAGTTCTGACTGGGCTTCTCTGACCAAAGATCCTTTAATCAAAGTAACACAAACAGATACTCAACCAGCCGCTTCATTGCTTTCTCCCTGAGAAAGTTTTCGCCAAAGCTTGCATTGTTCCTACGATCACGCATCAGGACAGAACATCAGCTCCACAATTCTCTTCATCAACAAAGCAGCAGAAGCTATTTTTGAGCACTTTATACGCAGTATGAAAGTTTTACTCTGCAGGTCAACATTAGTATGTTTACACCCCAAAAAGGATTATGGCATTTGCAAAACCTTCAGTGGACTTCAAGAATCTTCAGAACTATTAATATGAACAGAATTTTAAACTAATTTCTTCCAGGATTACCGCACTAACCTCCACAAGAACGACATTTTTGATGCTGCAACTTTGGCTGAGCAAGCTTACAACAGGACGCGCCAGTTGAGCAAAAACATCGTCTCAGATAATATGTTCTTTCCTCCTAACTCACAGTCTTGCCTCCCAAGATGTACATTTTGGGCTTTAGTAACTGAGAAATACTTTAGGATGAACTACAGCATTACGAGATAACAGAACTACTTTCCCAAGAGGCCCTTCCTAAAAGGTGCCGCTTTCAACAAAAACCACTCAAACCACACATCGTGCAGATTGAGAGCGCACCACACCACATTTCATCACAAGCTGTAGCACAAGCGCCTTCAAAACATTTCACTCTCAAAGAACATTTAAACCGTATCCATTTGTGCTACAGAATTATTTTAAATATTTCAGGAGTCCCAAATTTCAAATCTTAGCTTGCGCTCCGTAACACCAACAAACATATTACAAAATAAATTGTCAGTGACTTCTTTGGCTTTTATGAAGAACTCCACGCAATGAAGTCCCTTTTTCAATTGGGGTTTTTTGCTACCGCTAACATACTTAGCCTATTATATTTTTAGGAAATGATGTCTCTCATAGAATCGTTTAGGTTGGAAAAGACCTTTAAGATCATCAAGTCCAACCGTTAACCCAGCGCTGCCAAGTCCACCGCTAAACCATGTCCCTAAGCACCACATCTACCTGGCTTTATTGGTATTTAACCTCCAGGGACGGGGACTCAAACCCCACCCAAAACCTCTGTAAAGAGTTAAAGAGGCTCAAAAATTGCACGAGGTATGAGACACTGTACACCAGTCCACCTAACCGCCCAAGTGACCCGCTCCCGAGTCGCTAGGCTGCGTTCCCCCGTGCAGACGGGGCGCAAGCCGCGC